AAAGGTTCATAAATAATTGCCCTGGAAGAACATCAGGGACTTCCCACAACTAGGGCCAAAATATTAGTTTGCTGATCGAAATAAAAGAGAAAAATAAAGGAAAAGAAAAGAAAGAGAGTGCATGATGAGAAAACTAAATTGCTAAGAGAAAGCGTGATGTTGCTGCGAAAGCATGAAATTGTAGAAAACGTAGAAAGTGAAATAGAAGCTGAAGCATAAAACTAAATTTAAAAGAAGCTAGAAAGATGAATTTTGGGGCAAAGTGCAGTAGATTGAATTGCAGGAAACTAAATACATCAATGGAGATGTTCAAAACGAAATAACAAAAATCAGAATTAAAACTAATGGCAGCGTAGAGCTAAAGACTTAACTAGGAAAGGTGTTTGAGAAAACTGAATTTAAACTAAGACATTGCTTGAAAAACTAAAATGTAGATAACGCTGGGCTAGTTGTGTGAGAGGTTGGTCTACTTCGCTTCATTTCTTCTTTGCATCTTTATAGCAGTAAACACCCTTGGCAGCATGCTTGGAAATCTGTGGCAGCAACTTGACAATCAACGGCAGCATGAAATCTGAAACAAACTGATTATTCTGTTGATTCTACCAATTATTCTCCTGAAAGTTCGCAACAAACCAACAACCTTATCTAGAGAGATTTACTTCAACAACTTTCAACTAATGAAATATCTGCCAACATGGATGACATGTGGCATCATTATACTATTTTGCAAAAATGGGTGTAAACACAAACTAATCATTTAATCCCAGTTAATTGTTGGCCATTAGTGCGTGAACAGTACCCTTGAATAGTGCACGTAAACAGTAATCACGCAATAAACAGTAACTGCACTTCCAAAAATTGGTAAAACCATAGCTAATCTCACAGGACTTTCTCCAAAATCACAACAACCCAAATCAAGCTAATTTATACATGAATTAAGCTTAATTATGCTCTAATTACTGTCAAATTTCATCCCCATTTTTCAACAGAATTTCGGACATCACAGGGGCAGCCACTGCATGGATAATTCAACAACTAATGGATGATTTTAGGCTCAAAGGGGGTGTAATTGCAATGAACCAGAAGTCCTCCTTCAGTCCGCAACTGCACTCCGGAATGACCTGCAAAGCCCCGAGGTGGACCTCGGGGTAGACACTCCGATGCTTAAGTC